CTTATTTCTGGATTGGGCTTAGATTTTGCTAGACATGTCTTCTGTTTACTGCTTGCACCCCCTGATCATAATCTTTAGATTCTTCTATATTTCTTTCATCCATTTTTGCTAATAATAATTAGTGAGTTTTAGGAGATAATTAGAATAATAGAAACAATAAAAAATGATAATAAAATAGAATTTTTCTAGAATCCCTTTAGTTTTTTGATAGAATTTTCCTCACATAAAAAAAACTAATAAAAATACTTTTTCTTTTAGGTTTTTTTTATTCATATTTTCATACCGCTTTGCCTTGTTATTTTTTATGCGTTTGTTCGTTATGCAAGGTATATCTTGGTGCTTTCGATCACGTAACAATAATAGGTTATTATGTGATCGAAGCATACAGATTATGCTCGCTTCTGATGCAACACACCTTATTTCTCATCGTCTTGAGAAATTCATATTATATGGTGTCCGGATGCATGTGATATTTTGTGATGCTTTATCCAGGAAATTCTGATTACGCGTTGCATTCGCAACACGTGTTTGCTTTTATCTTAGTTGGATTTAATTTATAACTTTGTTATTTCTTGGTGAATCTTACTCGATGCATACTCCTTGCTTCTCCATTGCTTTCGTCCTCTCTTGATGATCTGCTTGCTTTTCGTAGTCGTCGCTACTGCTTTTATATTTTTCTGCACTTTATCGCATGCTTTACAACTTTTCTAGATATAATGAGAAGTAGGAAATAAAGAGTGTGCGCTCGAAGTCGCTGTTTAAAGTCCTGTAGTAGGCACCGCTTTCTGTATGCTATTTATGTTTGTTTAAAACCCTACCTTTGAAGTAGGTATTCCGCATGTTTGTTTACATTTGTGCCCGCGTATATTATAGATGATAAGTCCTTAAAAGGAGGCAAGCGGAAAGGGTTAGCAATCAACCCCCGCAATTTCTTATGTGTGATCCTTAGCTCGTGACTCACCATGATGCTTAGGAGTTGTGCCTATTCTTTTTATCGAGTCATCAAGTGGAAGAGGGTTTTGTAATCGAACCCCCACACTTTGTCAGGAGTTTGCATTGGATGATGTTGACACTCCGTGATTATTCATATTTCCTTTTGTCTCCTACCTCGATCTTCTATATCTTGGCTAGGTGTTCAGTCACTTTGGACATCATATTTTTGTTTCACATCCTATTCCCGCTTGTTTGCTTCAGGTGATCCGCTCCCCTTAGCTAAAGAATTTCTCTTCTTTTGTATTTCACTCCCGCTTGTTTGTCTCGGGTGATCGGCTTCCCTTGACTAAAGCATTTCGCTTCTTTTCTTTACCATTTCATATGTGTGTTATTTCGAGATTGTTTGCTCCCTAGCTTTCTATACCATGTTCCCTTACGATATCTTAGGTTGTAAGCCATGCATGATAACATTAGGTAGACGTTTCCCTTTTGTTAATCTAAACCTTAGGACTACCATTGTATGATAACATTAGGATTAGAAATAGGCTAGTCTCTCGTAGACTCTTTTCTTCCCCTTTTTTCATTTGCTTTTAAAACTAAAACTTTCTTTTTCTTGGCAAATCATAAAACATTCTAATCACACTTAAACCCTTTTTCAAGGTAAAAAAATACAAACCAACTCAAACCTTTTTATGCGCCCGAGCACCATTTCTATCTAAAACCATTTTCAGGTAAGGACATGTTAATTTACTTTTGTGCCAACGCGTGAGTCTCCAAAGGTCGAGCTGCGGCAGAAGGCGGAATTGACATTATTCATAAGAAAACACAAAACAAACAAAACATGTGAGTTGAAGTACGGTAACTCTGATTCCTCAAAAAGGATATGTAGGCATTGGGGCAGGGCCCAAGCAAGCACAACTTTATTTTCCCTACATTATTTTCTCATTTCTTATGCATGCACTCTTCCTCAATAAGTAAGAAGTAGACATAGATTAAACACACTCATAAGATTATAACAACAAGAGTGGACACCGTAGAGTACTACGGGTTTGTGGGGTAATAATACCTTCCCCTCGTATGACAGACTCCCTTACCCGGTCTATCATTCGTAAGACCGTGACTTCTCCCTTCTCAGGTTTTCTCGATGTTCACCTTTCCCTTCATGTGGGATAAAAGAAGTTCAATGGCGACTTCATTGTCTGATGATTTTCAACCGGTTGTTTTAGTTGTATGTTTGAATGTTGAATTATGTAGAAACCTTGTTAGATTGTGATAGAATTGGTGAGTCCTGATAATGCTTTAGCGGTTTTGGTTTTGGAGGAATTAGAACGAATTAGATTGTAGCAAAGTTATGAATTATGGGCGAGTTTGTGTTGAATTTAGATAGAGATTAGTGCTAAACTTTGTTGAATTTATGAGTGGATTCCTCGAATTTGATGAGTGAATAAATGTTGAATTCGTTGATTGGATGTATTGAGAAAGTTGTGGTTTTGTCGATGTCGTTGCATGAATTTCTTATTGTTGGATTTTCTTGATGATAAATGCTTGTGAACTTGTAACAATCCTTGAGTGATGAACTTGAATTGAAGATGAAGCTTGCAACTTTATGGTGATTTTTGTAGAACCTTGAAAAAAGTGGATAAGAAAGGATGATTGTGGATTATGTCAAGTTCTTAAGGCTTCAAGTGAAGGTAAGCGACTACTTTTCTCCTTATTACTCCTGTTTGAATTTGTAATTACTCTCACTTGTATTGTATGTTAAATTTGTTTGCCTATGTTATTTAATTCTCACTTTACGGAGCTCCATTAGTTATGATTCAGCTTATGTGAATTTTCTATCTTTAAATTTTTTTCCCAGACTTCAAAAAATTTCAGGCTTCGCCATTTGGTACAAGACATATCTTAGAGTTGATGGGTTTATTTGGGATGAAATTTATATGTTTGATCTTTCTTCCTTTATCTATTTATCAGTTAACACTTATGATTGACTTGGGTTTTATTTGAAATAAATAGGTAGCGTGATAACTTGCTATATGTTTGTTTTCATGTAGTTGATTTATTAATTAGGTAAATCATTAATTATTAATGTTCCATTCTATAACCAAAAATGGGGTGAGGATTAGAAGTAATGGAATATCTGAGCTTATGATGTGGTGGAGAGAGGGGTGATATGCAAGGTTAGTACTCCAACACTCAAGTCAATATGCGATGAAGAATAGTGAATTGAAATTGGATTTTAAACTTAGTACCTGAGTTTGGTTCCTTCTCTATATATAGTAGAGAAGAGATAAAAAAATTGTTATTTATCCGGCGTGAATCGCGGGGAGCCATTGGATGCATCTGAATTTTAGATCATTTGTGATCATTCATGGGAGAGTCCTCGTGCAATGGGAAGGTTATGAAATGATAGTTATTCATCATTCAGAGTGGTTGGTCAGGGTTGTTATGGTTGGCCCGGAATAATTTCCCTCTCAAGTACATGTTTATGCACAACAAGGTAGAGTTTTTCGTTTTAGCCTCGGTAGCTAATTACTCTCTTGCTTAACTTGGAAAGAGAAATACAAAACACAAGTTTTTCGGGATTCGTGCCTTTAATGTTCCATACTTCAAACGTCTTTTCAGAAGTGTCATTATTATGACCCTTGGGAACTTAAACACTCGAGTGTCACGTGTGAGTGATTTGACATGTTTTATAAAGTTTACTTCCTTTTGCATGTTATAATATGATTCTTGAGGAGTCAGCAACACACTTTCTTAAAGTCATTATTCGAGTTTAGTGGTTATCCTCCTTTGTGACATTTCAGTTTCCTACACCTGAAAAAGTTAGTAAATCATGGGTAAAAAGTCACAGACGAATATTTAAAAAATCTAGAAGAATGCTCAATCTTCATCGGTGAACCTTGTTTATTATTACATCATTTTTATTTTTGCAAGAAAGATTAATCTCGATGGAGCTTTTTCTCAGGATGGTCCATATTCAGGTTGGGGCATCTTGACCCCAGTGAGAATGACACAATCTGCAATGACTATGGAGACTGCACCATTCCTTTTTACGAATGCACCTTAGCTTGCCTTTTACTGCTTTTGAGGTGGAAGTTCTTAAGCATTTCGAGATTTCCCCGTCCCAGCTTCACCTAGAAAGCTGAGTGTAATATGAAAATCTTCAAGTAGTGATACGAATATTTTAAGGGGAAACCTTCTCTTAGACTTTTCTTTAATCTCTTTGGATACCAATGCAGCCCTATGATTTCAACACAAAGTAGAGGGTTAATTTCTCTGGTGTCGTCCATCCTGAGCGTTGTGGCCTTTCTTGAGTTGCAATATTTCAAAGACCGTTTCTTTCTGGTTACCCATATCCATCTAGAGGCTCACATTACATTTTGTGTTTTTAGGAACATAGTGGATGGTAGATGTGTTTAGTTGTTCCCCAAGTATTGTATGGAGCACCATTTCCTTATAGGAAATGAGGTGCGTGTATACAAAGAGGAAGACCTTTCTACGAAAGATTTGTGTTAGAATAAGCATCTAGTGACTTTATTGATGGTTTGGGTTACCTCGGGGTAGCGTTCCCTTAGAGGAGGCCGACTGGAAATGTTACAAGTGCCTCACTAATACTCAATTGTTGATGAATATTGGCTCCTGAGAATACATGAAGGTTATTTTTGGTAAGTTCTTGGTGTTTTTTCTTTTAGTTTTATTGGTTATGACATGCTCACATTGACAATGATTGTAATTATATGTATATTTGATAAATGGTGAAGTAAAGCTCTAACTTTGGATCCTTTTGGGAGTGTGGATTCTCATATTGCTCTTCTAAGGCCGTAGAGTGCTTCAGGATCGGGCCCTCGCCTCTCTAAGGAACTTCAAGCTTCTCCTCCAAAGGAGGACTGTTCATATCTAGCCAATATGTCGGGATGTTCCCCGGATAAAGATTTGGAAACTTTGTCTCGGTATACCTGACGTGCCTCTACTACTTTAGCCCTTAGAGGATCAGATCACTGGGATGCTCTTTGGTATGACTATCAACGTGAAGAAAATAAAGGTTGGAAGAAAGTGTTCGTAATCTAATGATCCAGCGAGATATGCACCTACAAGAAATACACACAACTTCTACCTTTTTCACACGGATAAGGGACACTTTGCTCCCCCTTAATCTCCATGGTTCTCTGATTGACCAAGTGACTCATCTGGTGAGGATCATGGCAAGGAAGAACCAATCTTTAGCTTATACTCAGAGCAATATATCATATTCTCAAGCATCTATATCGGTAACTCACAGGGGATTGGAGTCTTTGCGCCTTGAGAATGCTTCTTTAACTCAGCGCTTGGCCAATTGTACGGCTACCAACCTTGAGGTGGCTTCATATTCGTTTAAGAATGCCTTGTGTGATACGGTGGGAGAACTGACTTAGGATTTTGTGTTTGTGTTTGCAAATGTTTCAGTTTAGCAAGAGTCGCCACCGACTTTTTATTTTATCCTAAGGAAAGGTCAAAAAGCACAGGAAAGACCTTTGAGATGTTTTCTTGGGTTCGGGGAGTAGATTATGAAAAGGGAAGGTGCAAGCACCCTTTTCATCCATGGTTATCCATGGGCTCTTAGTTACTTGTTTAGATCACTTGCTTTTGCTTTTCAATTGTTTGAAATGGTGCTTTGTGCATGGTTTTGAAAGATGTTTTGAAAAGAGGTCATCGTTGTGGCAACCTTTGTAATGATTCTTGTTTGAATGTATACAGAGGTGTTTTTTGTCTTTTGAAAAGATTTCAATGTTTGAAAGTTTGGTTTGGGAAATGTTTTGAAATTGTGTTATGAAGTGTGTTTTAAAATAGAAAGGATGTTTTGCAAGCTTTTTGATCAAGTAACTAAGAGTTGTCTACCCTATTTTACTCAAAGATCTTTCTAATGTTTTTAACCCTTTTGACAGTGTTGTTTCACCATTGCATTTGGTGAACAACCTTGTGTTAGGATGTTAAACGGGACAGGCGCGGGTCATCGTATAGACCATGATAGCAATTGTGTCAAGTATTTTTGGAAAATTTTTGAGGGACTTGATCATTTTTGTTTTAGGCAACCAAGATAGCGTCATCGAGGGACTATGATCTTTTGTTTTGTTTTTTGTTTTACCAAAATACCCAACATGCATAACATGGCCCATTTTTGAAGGCAACAAGTGGATTGTAACCCTAGGGGTGCAAGTGTGCATTGTGTTTGATTTTCATGCATATTTGTCTTGGATTAGGTCAAGCTACTTGTTGATTTTGATTTTTGCATACAAACCCTAATTCTCTAATCATGGCATAATTGAAAGCGTAAAGTGCGAGAATTAAAAATCTAGACTATTACAACGTGATTATGGGGATGGGGATACAATCTTTGAATGGGGGATATTTGACAAGAAATATAAACCATAATTTACTATTACATCCAAATTGAATTTAATTGCATAAATATTTAAATGGACAATATTTAAATAAACAAAATAGATAAATATATCAAATAATATGAATTATGCAAAAAAAGGTTTTTGTTTGTTTATGTATGTAAAAGTTTTTAATGTAAAAAATAAAGAAATAAATAAAAGATTAATTTTATCTGTTTAAGGGTAAAACCCTAATTTCTTTAAGAAAATAAATACATTATATTATTTATATACAATAAAATATATTAATATATACAAAAATGAAATATACTTAGAAAAAGTATTAAATAATAATAAAAGTAAAAATGTAATATTTTATATTTTTTATTCTAAAATATTTAATAAAATAAAAGTATATATCTATATATATATGTATATTAATTATATTAACTATGTATAATATAAAATAAAATATGTACAAAAATAAATTATATTTATAATAATATTTTCAGTGTGAATAAAAATAATAAATAAAAATAAAAGTATAAATTATATATATTTTTCAAGTCTTAATAAATAATAAAAAAAAGTATTTGAATGTTTTTTATGTTAGAAAAATTAAAATAAAATGCCAAATAAATGTGAAAAAATTATGAAAATATTTTTGAGCATTTTTTATATTTGGAAATAAATAAATAAAATCATAAATGAAAACAAAAATGCAAAAATATAAAAAAATACAAGAAATTAGACCAGGGGGTGCAAAAAGGAAAAGCGGGGGTGTCAAAAGTAGTCACGCCAAGCCCAGCCCAAAACTTCATCTTCAACCTCCAGCTTTTGAAAAAAATGTGCGCGTCCCTGTACAAACTATCAGGTCCTGTATACGAGCTCTATTGCAAAAACACACAACATCAAACTTGTAGAGAATTTCAAGACGATTCCAACCATATAAATAACTTGTCTTAACTCTCAAAGACCAGAGAGAATTTCTCTGGTTCTGAAATCAGACCTAGTTTTTTCAGCATGTTCATGGATGAAATTCTCCTATCACACTTAATATAAATGAAAACTGAGCATATGTACAGCTTCATGGCAATGAACACTACATTTTTTATTCACAAACCTAAGGCTAAATGTTCCTAAATAGAGAGATAGGAAGTGGAGAAAAACCTGTTTTAGTTGACTTCGTGTAGGGCAATGTAGTGTTCTTCAACATGGCTTGAGATGTCTGGTAGCTTGCTTGAACTTCACTTGACCTTCTCCAATAGCTAGCTTGCCTTGAATGTCTTTGAATCAGCCTATAGAACTCAACCTGCACAAGCTTAAAATGAAAATGGTGAACTGTGTAAATGGAGTTACAGTTGGGGTTTGAGGTTTGGGATAGCTTGGATGGATGGAATGGAAGGTGTTCGAAGCAATTTGGGGAAAAACGCACGAGCCAAATGAGCTATGGAACTCAAGTTGCAGAACATGCCCTATTTTGCCAAAGGAATGTGATTTCTGGCTATGGGGTGTTTAGAGGCTCAAGAAATCGTGTTTCTAGCTCAAAGGGGTGTGAGAAAGATGTTCAAACTGTTTGCATAAGTTGGTATTGGCTGGTTTTCAAGTTCTAAGGTTTTGGACAAGTTTCTTATTTTTGAAGTAAGAATGTAGAAGTGATTGAAACAGGCCTGTACAGGATCTCCTTATGCTTGCATACTTTTCTCTTGGCCCCTCTAATTTGTGGATTTGATTATCTGCCAAAGATTTGGATCAATGCTCAAGAAATCAGTTTTTACATAAAGCAAGATTTAAGCAAAAATGGAAATTTGCCTTTTTCTACTTAGGGCTTAATTTTGTGTACAATGTCCAAATGACCAAAACAAAAGCTTAGACTGATGGATTTGCATTTAATTATGGAGTTTGAAGTGGTTTAGAGGCCTGTAAACTAGTGTAAGGCGTCCTGACTTGAAAATGCAACTTGTGTGAACATGAATATGCCATGGATGAAAAGTGAGTTTTTGCCAACTTCTAGCCTTCGATTCTCCCTAACCACAAATGTGTTTGAGGAGTTCTTGGACAATTTGCAAAGCTTGAAACATGCTTTATAATCAATCTTTGAAATGCAACTTTATATTCCAAGTGGAACTATGTGAAAAATGGCCAAGAAGATAGGTCAAAATCCTGCCTAAACTAGGGCAAAATTTCACTAAGTTAAAAGTTTTAGGGACCCTTGTTCCAAAAATCATAACTTGAGATCCAAGCTTCTTTTGAAAAAACTTTGTGAATAAAAGTTGTAGACTTTGTGGAGTAATAAAAATTTCATGTTGGAGGTTTTGTTTGAATACATTTGCATCATGGTGAAAATGTGGGGCAAAGTTAGGAAAAATTAAGAAAATTTCATAACTTAGAAAAATTTTAAGTTATGAAAATTTTCAACTTTAAACCCTAATTTGCAATTTTGGGTTTCCTAATGAACAAGTTTCATATTTTGACACATCTTGATGAAAAATGACCCTTGGCACTTGATTTTGACCAAAAAGTCAAAGTTTGACTTTTTAGTGTACAGTCAAATTTTGATTAGTTGATTGAAAAATTCATCTGTCAATCCCGTGAATTTGAGGTCTTTTGAACTTGTTGAATAAATCAAGATGATTTCATTGAGTCCTTGAGTCCATTCTTGAACCCAATTTGCCATTTGGCTAGGTCAAAAGTCAGAAATTGCCTTTGTACAGTCAAAACCCTAAAAATGACCATTTTGCCCTTTTGGTGATCTGATCAAATTTCTTGTGGAGTTGTGGTACAAACTTGATCAAATGGTTCATATGAGTTGATAATGTTGATGTGGGTCAAAATTCATGAGGTTTGGCTGTAAATTGGCCACAGTTGACTTTTTCCCCAATACAACTGATTTCTAGGTCAACTGTCCAATTGATTGGGCAAAAATTTGATTCAAGGCTTGAAACTTGGTATGGACAAACTTATGAGTCCAATATGAAGTATGAAAGTCAATTTGAGCATTGAAGGTCCAAAAATATTTGTGCAAACTCAAACCCTAATTTAGGTCATCAGTGCAAGGAGATGTCTTGAGTAGAGCAAACCCCAGCTTGATCTTGAGTTCAAAGAGCCTTGTGATGAGAAATGTTGATAAAATGAGAGGGCAAATTTTAGGGTACAACAGTTGGCCCTGTTCAATCTTCTTGAACCTGAAGAGTTAGATTGGCAAGTTTTCCTTTCGTGACTCGAAGGTAAAAGAGGATTGGACACTAGAGTGCCCGTAAATTTGCACTCATCAAAATGTAGGTGAGGGAATGGGCTTAAAGATGCCATTTGGAAATGGTAGAATCTTGCTGGAGATGGGCTTAGAGATGCCATCCAAAACTGTTTGTTGAAAACCAGGAGAATGAACATCAGAATGGTATCCGTATTTGGAACGTATCTGAGTTGTATCTGGAGATTGGATTCATATTAGCAAAGGAATGGCGCCCGTGTCTAGAGCGTATCCGAGTTGTAACTATATTTGATTCTTGAATGAATATCAGAATGACTGTCGTGTCTGGAGTGTATCTGTATTCTGAATGGGTGACAGAGAAACATCTGTGTATGGAGTATCTATGTGCTGGGGATAAATTCCGAATGAGTGACAGAATGGCAACCGTGTCTGGAGCGTATCTGGACTGTATCTGAAGTTGAGATCTGTATGAGTAGCAGAATGACTTCCGTGTCTGGAGTGTATCTGTACTGTAACTGGGATTCGGACAAGCGACAGAATGATTTCCGTGTCCGGAGTGCATCTGAACTTGAAGTTGATAGTTGAATCTGAATGAGAAATAGAATGGCTTCCGTGTCTGGAGCGTATCTAGTCTGTATCTGATTGCTGAGGTCTGAATGAGTAATAGAATGACCGCCGTGTCTAGGGTGTATCCATACTGTATCTTGACTTGAAATTTTGAATGAGTAATAGAATAGCTGCCGTGTTTGGGGTGTATCCATACTGTATCTGAATAGGAGATCTGAATGAGTAGCAGAATGACTTCCATGTCTTGGAGTGTATCCGTACTGTATCTGAAATCTTT